TACAAGCAATGCATATCCGTTTTACCGTTTCCCATTCAATGCAGCTTGCATATGAACCTTCTTATTCATAGTTATCTTTAAAAAAGTCTCAAATTTATGACCCCTACTAAATGAAATGCAACATACTGCTCTTGCATGTAATGTCATTCTTACTGTAAGGTTGAATAACTGTGAAATCATCAGTGCTAAGAATGAAATTTGTCCAGTAAGTTACAATGAGTAGTATAGCCAGTGTTAAAAAATATATATTCGCAAAAATCTGCAGTCTCTCCCCACAATACTTTAAACATGATTTACCATCCCACAATGTAGGTAACACGCACTTCTTAAAAAAAACCCACAAAAATAAAAACGAAACCAAAAAAAGCCAACACCCCAAAAAAACTCCAAAATAACCAAAGAAAGTACCAACCACATAAAGGTACAGGTCTCATGGAGAACAGACCTTGGCTATACTCTTGGAGTATACGCATATACAGTTAAGTATGAAATTAAAGATTTAGATATGGTTTAAATTTCCTTTTAAAAAATGCCAGCATGACATGTTTTACTTTTTTGTTACCTGGAAAATAATAAAAATTTAAAGTAAAAATAATCCCCTTGCAGAAAATCAAATTATTTTTTCTCATGAAAATACTATCTTAGAAAAACCCAACCAATGCCTCTATACTTTTAAATTCCTGGTTTAATGGAAAGATACAGCCATTGTATTAACATTGACAATAGGCTTTAGGTACTTTCTGAATAGGGATGGAAGTAAGCATACTTTTTAAATTAATAACATATGTAAATGCTGTCTTGAACCAGAGTAAAACACCACCCGGCATTAGAGAAAGATATTTTCTGCAACAAAAGTTAAATGCAGTCTTTAAGTTTTAATGGCTCCGATTGACCTTTTCTTTCATTATTATTTGTAGCTTACATTATTCTTCATTGTCTAAAATTATAAATTCATAACAAGTTAATGGCAAAATGTTTGATGCCCTTGCAAATATCTTCTACTTCTTTTTAAACAACATTATTATTTTAATAATTGAAAGTGCATTATGTTTCCTGAGTCACAGGTATCATAAATCAAACCCACAACCTCATTTCTTTCACCAACCTAGATGCAGAAATCTGTAATTCCACTCCCAGCCCTCCACAAGTGTTTTTGCATAATTTTTACCCTAACCACTGAAAAGTTCCTGTAAAATAATTTGCAATGTTGAATTGCAGTGTTGGATAATCTGCGAGGAAACTGTCAGTGTTCTTCTGACTTTTCCCAAGGGATTCCAATGTCATAAACAGCAAGGAGGGTTAGTATTATGGTATTAGCCTTCAAAGCTGACTGTTAATGTGCAATGCTTATTTCATTTAAACTGGCATCCCATGGAAGCTGACACACCTAGCGCTTGATCTTCCGTTGCTTACCCCAGTGATGGGAATAACATATCGCAACCATAGAATATTTGGCATGCTGTTCTAGAAGGTGAAGGTGGAAAATCTCTCTTGGAGGAATCATTGCTCACATTTTCAGTGACTTTTCAGACAGTTACGTGCATGTGCAAGCATTTATGAGATACACATCCTGCTTTATATCAAAACTGATGGAATCCACTTAAATACTTCCCCAAGTTGCACTGAAATCCAAATTTTTGTCTACCTTCACTGTTAGCATTATATTATATATTTAAGCTACAATCCTTCCTCAGAAATTCCAGCTGTTAAAATGTAGATAATGAAAGGATACCATGCATACTGCTTAACATTTTATTTCCATGGTCATGTAGTTAGCTATTTTAAACACATTCCTGTCACGAATGTTAAAAGAGCTAGGTTTATCTTCACCAATTATTTAATTCAGTTTCTCAGGGGAATGGTTAACTACGTTAGTAGCTTTTTCTTTGTAATACTATAATTTGATGTACAGTGACATAAAATTGTTCCATGTCATCCAGAAGATTTCCCTACCACCGAAGTCTCCCTGATCTGAATATTAGTGACATTCTACCAGGGGAAGACCTGAATATGAAGTGTGGTTTGTTGATGCCCTAATGTAATCATGTCTTGCCCTATAGCACAAAATCTTTCAGTTTCTATTCCCTATGTAAGATGAAATATGAGCCATACATTATAAAACATGAAGTATGGATAATACCACCTCTTCAGGTATTGTTTTGAAATAACTTTGTTTCCATACCTGATCACTCTACCTGAATATTTTTTTTTCTGTAGTCAGTTTTAAATTTGTCACTTTTTCTTTTCGTAGACAAGTCATTTTTTATTTTACTGTGGGGAAATGTGAAGAGAAAGCATTAACATTAGAAAAATCTATTAATTTTTAACTCTCAATTTGTTTCTCCATTTACTTCTACAACTTTTTCTCTAAAAATTGTGTTTTGTTTCCTTTACTGAATGAAGTCATTGACAAATAGTTTAGTTGTTATCATAGAAGAGAATTTTTTTCACAAGTAACTATTTTTAATACCTGATTAGAGAATAAATAGCAGACATTCAAATTGTTTTTAGAAATATTTCCTTTAGATCATATTTTAAGGAAATTATGACTCTCTAGTTCTTTTGTGCAGTTTCAGAAGGCTTTTCTTTCCCTTACTGAGTTCATCTTACTCTTTTTTTTTTTACTGTTGACCCAAAATGTTATGGTATTTAGTTTCGAAAAATATCTGGCATGTGGTGTTTGAAAAGTACAGAATGGGGCTGAGATTTCCACACACAGAGAAATATTTCTTCATTGTTTGACATTTACCCAACAGCAGAGGGAGAACAGTTACTACTGATGTGCAACTGAAGCTGATACAGCAGAAAATAATATTCCTGCACCACCAGCCTCTACCCAGGATGATAATTTTCTGCTGCATCAGCTTTAACATCAGGCACTAATGTGCCAGGGTTAGGCCAACACAGGAGCTTCTGGAGAGGTGAGATTTTGAACGTCTTGTTACCTCTTAAGTTTTGGGACCATTGCTTAAAAATTTTATGTGGTTTTTGCTTCCTATTTTTATTTTGGGGTGGCTTTATCACTTCAAGTAGAAAAGAAACAGATGTCTTATTTTTCCAGAACCACATTCCGAGTTACATCCCATTTTTATGGAAACTTACTAACTAATAGGAATCTTACTTTTTGATGAGAAGTTGCAGCAAAATGTCATGTATTATTAAGACTGATGGGAATGGAAGACAGGTACACCAATTTGTCTGCTCTGGGGATTAAGGAGTGACTAATGCTGTGAAGGGGAGGGGCTTGTGACAAATGCAAGGTTAACTGTTTTAAATGAAATGCATAGAAATATTCAATTATTCATCAATGAGTGGGAACTATCAGCTCTACAACTTTCCAACTTTACTTCTATGTTTTTTCTTTCAGTCCTTTTGAAACATTATTTATCATTATTGTTATCTTACCAGTTTTCCATCCCCTGAAATTGTCAGTATCTCTTTTGCTTCTTTGCTCCTTGTCTTTTTACTTTTTCTTCAGGAGAGGATAACTGTCATGAGTGGAGCTACCTGAGGAGAACATTAGTTTTTCTTTGGGGGCAATAGCACTTGCTGGGGAAGCAAGAGATTTGTAGGATTTGTAGGTTGGAAGGGTGGACATAGATGAGTGATCTGGAGGAGAATGGGGAATGTAGCATTCCAGAGAGCAGACCCGTAATCAGATTTCTGTATCTCTCAAAAGCAAAACTTTCTAGGGACTGAGCTGCATATGCTACAACTCCCCAAACCTACATGTATGTAACCAACTGCAGAAAAAAGAACTTGCTATAATGACATGAGGACTAAAAGGACTACATATACTTAAATAACGGCTACTGGGCCAGCATTTTGTCTAGTCTAGATAAATTGAACTTTTTTCTGAGCAGATGTTGAGTTATTCTAATAATCACCTGAAAAGTCAGGTCTAATAAAAATTGATTTTTATGGTTAAAAATCTCTTGGACTTCATAGAGAATGTTTGCTCTAAGGGAGAGATCCATGTAGATCGTTCTCAAAATTGTGTGGGATTTGGGGTCCTGTCACATGTAATTTTATGCATCACTAAACTTTTGCCTTAGTATATTAGCAACGTGAACCTGAGGTTAGTTTACTGAACAGGCATGTTGCCTTTACCCAATATGTTGATATAATCTATATTTCAATAGACTTTTGAGTAAAACTGTTACACAGAACTGGAACTGCTACACTGTTGAAATGTTACTTGTCACACACTTGATGGCTAGGTAGTATATTTTTTTATGTAGCTTTTGTAGCTTTCTCTTTATTTGCCCTTTTATTCTCCGCCCATCCCCATATTTTGTGGTAAGCTTTTTTAATAATACATAAATTAAAAAATACTGTGCTCTCACTTTCTGTTTTAATCAGATATTAATGTGTTCTTTTGAGAAAGCTCGGACAAAAGCAGCACTGCAAATGAAAATTTAAATTTTAAATTCTTTCTCAGCCTTTAAAGCCTTGTACAGAGAAATTAAACAAAGTTGCCAATATTTTTTTATGTACTGATATTTTGTTAAATCCACTGCAGAAATCACATCTGCTCTGAAAACCGTAACTGGGGATTCACTCCTAAACATACTTTTATGAAGAAGACACATAAACATCTCAAAGCTACCAAGAGCAGATAACACAGCATGATATATTTAACAGCTACTGGCAAAAAATGTTTAAAGAGGGAAAACACATTCCATGACTGGATATCTATTTAATGTATAAATAATTTGGAGAAAAGATAGAGGAATCTTCACTCCCTACTCCCACAGAAATGCAGTAAGTGCAAATTTAGTGCATATTTTACTGATTATTTTCAGGCAGTTCACACACAAACATGATTAGTGGAAACCCACAGAATTTCTACCAGTACCTTAGTGAGCAAACATAAATGTGTTTTCTCCCTAACGAAGACATTCCATTACAAAGATATAACAAAGTCAAAGCTGGTCTCTAAGAACTATTTTTCTTTGTCTGTAGGGTTTATGCTGTTTTATGTGATTTCTCTTTTTAAGGATCATCTGTTTCATCTGGAATCGCACAAATTTGACAGAGGACGAGGCAGGTGCCCTTTTGACCCCAGTTCTTCCTTCACCTCCATCTTAATTGGTAATGATCTTTATGTCACAAGCTTCATAGTCCTGTCAATCTGTCATTCCGAGTCTCTTTCTTCAGCACACCGAAGTGTTGTCAGTCTTCCATTGCAGCCTTCCACATGTCAGACTTAATCCTCATGGTGCTGCCCACGTTAATATTACATCCCAGGCATCATTAGCTCCAGCAAGGGTGTCTCACTGTCGTGAGTAGATGTTATTTGACACATGCCAGCCTGAAGAGGTAACTGATTGTTGTGTAATTTTGGAAACAATAATTTCCTGCTTTACTTCAAAGTAAAGCAATATGTCTAGCCTAGACTTTAACATGACAGAGTCAAATGCATAAAATTTACTATTTTTCATCTACTGAGAAGTAATCTGAGTAACAAGCATCTCATAAAAATGTGAATTTAACTTTTCATATCAAGCGTTCATTGTTTACATAAATTACAGCTTTTGGGATTAAAATAGATTTTTTGTCAAAGCTGCCTTTTAACAAAACTATTCAAAGTTGGTGATTCTCCGTTAGGAGAGATGATCTTGTACTCGGCAATTACAAAAATGGAATTCAGTACAAGTCCTGCAGTGCTAGAAAGCTGTGTTGAGATAGTGCTCCTCTGTGCCTTGCTGGTGAGTATATCACTGTAGGACTGGGACCTTTGAAGTTGTAGTATAGAAAACCATAAGTTTTATCCTCTATAATGTTTTCCTGAAAACATTTTGTGAGATCAAGCAAACACTGTCTTGGCAATATTATAGTACATTGACTAAAAATAGAGTGGAACTGCAGGCAAAGGGTGAAAGCTAGATGCACTTAGGGGGTAACACAGTTATTTCTGGTTTTAGAAAACATAAATAAGACTAAAACTGAGCTTTAAAATGGAAAAGTCATTAAAAGAAAGAAACAGAAAAAAGAGGCCAAAGTTCAAATAAATTTTTAACTTTTCAGAGACAAAGAAGCTAGAGAATTTTAGAGCTCTTTGATATTTACATTTGATTTCATAACTTAAAATCAAACAGCTAAACTCTCTGATTATGAAGTAAAATGATATAGCTCATCCATGGTAGTGAGGAAGTACTGTTCATGAGTGTCAGATGTATTTTTGCATGCTAGGTTTATTTGTTCCTTTACATTAACAAATTACTTACAAGAAGAATCTTCACCAGTAAAGCTAAATCTTTCAAATTGTAGCAATTAATCAAAATACTGTTCATTTCCATCAAAAAAACCACAGCTCAAATTCTTATGAGTTAGAAGGTTAAGAATTCATGAAAGAATCAGAAAAAAATATTGTATTTTGATTGAGCTTCCAAAATCCATGAAGTACAGATTGCTATGCTTTTCTTCCACACTTATTTGTAAATTGTTGCCACAGTTTTTAACAGATTCCAGTCTTAGCTCAGCCTGGGAACAAAGACTTATCCCACGGAATTTGCTGTAGTCCTGAAACTTCATGGTGTATTCTTGAAGTCCTTCTCAGCCTGTCTGCAGACAGAACTAAGTAAATATATTAACCTAATCATGTTCCTAATGTGAGATCAATGTGAAATTTATGTGCTGAAATGGAAACCAGATTGTCCCACAGAGCACTTCAAGACTAATGGTTAGTCCCTGTGTTTCTGGCCTATTGATTAGTTCGCCTGGATTATGCAAGGTCCTATGGATCCTTACAGTTTTATTTGAAAGAGAAATCCATTAAAAAATTCCTTCCCTTGTAAATGTTAATCAGAATCTTGGACATCCACTGATAAAGACCTACAAAATCAATGTTGTAAAGCTAATAATTCTATAACGTGACAAGATTAACAGGAGAAAATATATTTTTATCAGATCCTTGATACAACACCAAAAAACAGACAAACATTCATCCCTTCACTGAAACTAATACGACCTGAGAAAGGTATTTAGAAGCTGTTTTTCTAGGTCTCCATTGGAAATTCTATAATTTCAAATGATCACAGAATTCTATTTTAAAAGCATAACAAAATTCTTCAAAGACTATATGATTTTTCTTACACTTTTATTTTTTTTATACTATTGGAATTAAACACTTAGGAAAAATATGCTAAAGAACTTTGTATTTCCATATATTCAACTATATTCTACCAACTTCTACTAACCAGAGACAAACAGAATATACAGAATTAATGCTGCCCCTTAGACTCCAGAATGTGCATCCTTTATGTCTGTAGATATCTATTTGAGAAGGGTAGAAGGCATAGATGTAAACATGGTAAATATTAAAAAATCTTTTAAAAGACGCTTGAGAATGACGTCTCATGTCAAGAGTGCTCCTTCATTCAGCCAAGCCCCGATTCCAGCTCATGGTGACCATGACGGAAGGTGACAACTACACCATCCAGGACTGGTCTTCCAGTCTGTCCTCCAAGGCTTATGTTCCTTTCTTCTTCGTGCACTCCAATTTTCTTAGAAAATGAAATCCTCTCCTGGTATGGAGTCAGCATACCCTTGGAGGCTGCACTCCAGAGCTGCCTCCACTCTTATGTAGATTCAGCCAATGTGTGTGTCCTTGAAAAGGTTTTATGCAAACCCATTAGCAAAAGCAGCATCATCTTCTTCCTAATGAAACAATTCAAAACCTGCTTCCAGCTCCCCAACTCGCATCAACACAGCAGCCTACGCTGGTGTGGCTATTGACAAAGAGTAACACTTAGAATAACAAGGAAACTTTACGTACCTCTGATAAAATTTTAAAAGCTTTTAAAACCTGAATCTTGAAAGATCATTTGCACCATCACTAATTAGAACCAGATTTAGCTAGACGAATTTAGGAAGAAAGAGAATCTCTTGTTCTATATCTCTTCATGTATTTCAACACGTCAGTTAAAATACCCACTCCAAGAAAGCAATATTTCGTGACTTGGCTTTAAAACTAAATATCCATGTTGCCATAAGTTTTATTACAGGTTATCTGACCCAGTGATAAAGTAGCTAGTGATGAATTCCTCAATTTATGAACAATTAACTTTTAGTAATTTGTCAGCATCAGGAAACAGACTAGATGTTGGATGGCAGACAGGCTGAATAAAATATATATGTTTAGACAAACAGCATATAAAATTTTTAGACTTTTATTTCTAATGAATTCTCCCATCTGCTTTCAATAGCCATAAGTATTTTTGGTATCAGATCTTGCACACTGATTAACTTAGATCACCCTAGCTCTTGAAAGCTGAGAAATTAGTTTATGTCTATGTTTTGGTACCTGCAATATATCACGAGCAAGTGGTGAAAAACCTAAATTACATTTGAATATGTGTTTCTATCCAGGGAATCAATTCTGAGAATATTTTCTGGTTTTATGGTTTTAAAACAGTTTCATGTATATATGTGTTCTCTTATACTTTAGACAATGAACTAAAATAAATAAATTTACTCTCAAAACAGAGCACTAAATACCTGAGTGACAGACAGAAAATACAAACTTACAGAGGAAGTTTACCAGCTAAGCAATAGCTAGTTTGAGTTTGGTTTTTTCCTGCTGTGAGAAGAATCATTTGCTAAAAACATGAATTGGTATCCTAATTTTAGTTGCTTTGTGAGTAATAACTGGCTGACAGCCAAAGAAATGTATGAAGGGTGCTGCTTATGTTCTACTCATCATGTTCTACTCCTTTATTCATAACAGATCTGGTCCACTTTCTGATAAGTGATATAATGGGAATTTTAAAAGGACTACTGATGAATAATATTTTATGTTTGCATTACCTTCCAGTTTGAAGCAGGTACACAAAATACATCAATAACAAATGAAAGAAACCCACTTTTAAGGTGGCAGCAGCTTATTTTTAGAAATCCTTTGTATATATTAAGTTTTTAAAATCAAATCACATACTTCAATCTATTTTACTTTAAGGGTTATCATGCAAGAACTCTTGGATTTAGAAGACAGTTTTGTATTTGATTTTATGAATATTTTGCTCTGAGAAAAGAGCAAAAAATAAAGATGTCTTTTAAGAGGTCCAAACTGAACTTTGAGGTATTTGTTTGCTTGAAAAGAATGCTAGCTAAAAAGTACACATGTATCACTTGAGCTAAAACTGGTTTTCAGATCCGCGGGATTTTTTTGTTTATTTACATAAGGAAAGAAGAAAGTTTCAATTCTTGTTTTAGCGCTTTAACCAGGCTGTGTTAAAACTTAAATTTTAGCAATTAATTTGTTAAATACATGTGAAACTGAGGTTAGACTGGAAGAGGGGAGGAGTGGTGAAGGTCTGTGGAATTGCTTAGTTGATTTTCACTGAAAGATATTGGTTATTCAGTGTGAGGTACTGAAGTATAAAACCCTGCAACCAAGACAGGAGTAAGGTGATATGTAGCAGTAGCATTCAATAGAGGAGAAAAGAGTAGAAAACTTGCCAGGAATCTTCAAACCTCAGCCTCAGGGTGTCTCTAAATCTAGAATTAGTCAGCACCTGTAAAAACTCAGCAGTGTTCAGAATTTTTAACATGGATTTAAAAGATGTGCAAAAGACTGTTGAAGAGGAAAAGAGATCATCAATGTCAAAAGTGCAACAGATCTCAGAGTTACAGTGCATGTTCTTGTGCTGAGATCTTTCCTGGTCACACTCATCAGTACTGTCTCATCGCTTTCCTTAGGCAAGGTGACCTGTCTGCTCACACTTGACACTTGGAATATGTTTAGTTTAGTAACATTTCAGGGTAAAAATCAGATTCAGTTTCTATATCTGTACAATATATTTTGTTTAACAATATCTATCCAAGTCAGGAACTTCAATTTTCTCCCCTCAAGATCTCATGGCTAAAATCACTGACACCTACCTCGGTAAATGGTAGAATGCCTTACCAGCAGCTTAGTTACATATACTGACATTTTATACCTATGTCAAACAGAATGAATAGGCTTCATATCCAACTTCTGAACATCTGGACTTACGAATGTCAGTCCTGATCACCAGTAATATGTGACCAATCATTTACTCTGCACCGATGCATTTTCCAAGATTCACTAGTGTTAAAAGGATAAAAAGCTCCATGTTTTGTATTACCAATCAAAATAATTAAAAAATCCAAGCAGCCACTCTGAGATACTTTTCCAGTGGAATTCTTATAGGGGGATTTATGACTAATGTAAGTCATTAATTAGGGCTGTGAAGATTGTTTGGAACATTGTTCAGACACCTGCAAATTCTGTTGTTTAAGCCACTCTGTTGTTTGAAATATAACACTCTCTGTTAGTTTTGAGTAACTTTCACTTCTACTGATGCTATAATTAATACTTACTTTTCGTTTCACTTGCCAATATTTTACACTAAATCATGACCATGTATTTTACAAGACAATATACATTTTTTATATGGTGAAGCCTAAGGCAAAACTATGCTCAGCTCAGACTCAGCAGCGGATTCTGAACCAGCCCCAGCTGACAAACTATAAACTTATAAGAATCATTATTCAGGCTTACGATATCATTCAATTCATACATATCTCTCAAAAAAAAAAAAAAAATTGTGCTCTGAGGGTGACCAACGAGCAAAACTCTTACTTTTGCTATAATCCTTTATAAATGCCAGCAAATGTTATTTGAATGGATCAGTCGTTTGTTTTGATTAGGGGGTAGGAAGCTGTGTCACTGAAACCTCCACTCAGATTAGCCATGA